TCAGAACGTCGAGCTCTTATTGGCTGATTGAAAAACGAAAATAGTGGGTAGACCTCAAGGCATCTACGAGGGTGTTGAGGTCTACCCATTAACCTTTCAATCAAAACCAATCAGAGCTCGACGTCGTTATGACGTCACCGCCAGTCCTGTGCAAGAAGCAGACGTCATGCTCTCCGCATAACTTTTGGTACGCTCCAATTTAAGTTGATTTAGGTGTGAAGTACTATCGATATAAAAGAGTTGTAATAAATTAGACGAATATTTTTTTTTATTAAGTGCGTTTGTTGTTGTTTTTGTTAACGTACTATTATATTAGTTATATCATAATTTTCCAGAAGTCCAACAACTTTACTTTGTTTCATCATGAGTAAGAGCCGCATAACCAAAGATGTAAACAAAAAAAAAAAAAAAAGAACGCGAACACACATTAAATCTGCAATGTCCCAGCGTATTCAAAATTAGTCGGTAGCTTTCTAGACAGGAGGAGTTTCGAACGGCGACATTGTAGATAATAAACTTAGCCAGCGTACAACTCTTAGCTCGGGGATTTTGACGTGCATCACGCAGTAGTGACACAGGATCACACGCCGGTACGATGCAGATGGCCGATTGAACCTAGGGTTCCAGCAGGTTCTGCAGCGTGAGCCCAGTGCTTTGAATGGACTTAGCGCTCGCGCATTTCTCCGCGTGCTCTGATTTGCCGTACGCCAACACACTCGGCCAACGATTCCCCACCGCACTTGGTTTAGCCTAGAGACACTAAATGAACTACGCTTAGAGTACCGGTACTTTTTTCTTCGATATACATAGCTTCCATGTGACGTCATTCGCGGCCATGCAAGTATTTTGTGCGCCGCGAGCGTTCGATTCGCCGAGTTAGTTTCACACAGCAGAAGTTGTAGTTTGAAAAAAAGAGTAAGTAGAAATAACTAGAAATAACAAGGCAGCAGCTCCACGTGCTCTGAGCTGCAGTGCATTAACACACTCGGCAAACAATTGTTAAAAAAATAAATATCGTAGTCAGTCAAATGGTACCAGAAACAATTTTTGTTTTATTTGAAAAATCAACCAAAAACAAACGCGATGCAACAGAAGAAACACTGAGGTCGGCGTGGAGAGACGAACGTAGAGGGACGCCAATCGCTGAGCGCGGCGTATTCCGGACACCGCAGGCGGCGACTCGTACGCAAATGAAATGCAAAGGGATTTCCCCAAATGGAGTTTTATGCAGGCGAGCAGCAACCGTTAGTAACATGAAGAGACTGTCAACTACAGACTAGCTCAAGGCACTCATAGACACTCAAACTGGAACGTGGCTATTCGGAAACCTTTGCAAAGTATCGAGGTCATGTTAGTAGTAATAAATAGATAGGTGTATAGAACAAAGTAGATAGAGTTCAGAAAAGCCTACCACGAGCCGACTTCAGGGCTTTCAATGATCACCATTGACTACTGTTTCAGAGAAAAAAAGGAAGGGGGGCGGGAAGGGAGGGGGGGGGGGGGGGGGGTAAACGAAACTTTTTTTGTAAGGAGAGAAGACACACGCTTGAATGCAGGCACACGAATAGGAGCAAGAGGAGTTATAAGCTTGGGGGTTTGCAAAAAACTCTAGCTTAAATTATGCGCGTTTACGGTTCATAACATACGAGGAAGTTCAGAACATGTTTGATTGCTCTTGAAGCTGTCGTAAAAATAATTTAAGTTTGTTAGTGTGACTGGATGCGATTAGAAAGCTAAGTATCAGCCCAGACTGAAATAAGGCTTCGTGCACATCTCTGTCTAGAGTATATTAATTCTTGCAAAATTAAAAAGTTCAATACGACCGTTCGCTAAACTTGAGCTCAACATCTCGTAATTAGAGCCTACAATTAGTCACGAAAAAATGGAACGTGATGTCAACCGCCGACGTTATGGCATCATCTTCTTGACGATAAGCGAATGTGGCTAGAGGGCTTCCTAGCAGACACGCGCGATATGGAGATGAATCTTTGACCGTTATATCGCTGATAACTGGTTCACGGCGGAACAAATCAGGCCAGGTATGTTCTTTGCATGTCGATGCGTAAAAAGCGCCTGTGGCTAAGCTCAAAATAAGTGCGGTCTTCGCAAACGAATAATGAGCAGAAGAAAGCATGATGTTCTCCGCCACAACCGGTTGGAGGGCACCAGTTTTAACGGAAAAAGAGCTTGACTCCTTCTTTTCGGTTTAAGGAAACTTGAAGTGACAACTTCACATTTCGGCTTTAATTTATATATATATATATATATATATATATATATATATATATATATATATATATATATATATATATATATATATATATATATATATATATATATATATATATTTGGACCTTGGCTTCGCTATTTCGTTCACTCACACGAGTGAATTCGTGGTCGAGGAGCTATCTTTTTGGAGGATTTGTGAAAAAACTGCATCATACACGCGGTATAAACAACACGCACCCAAGAAAGATATGCGCACTGAACGCCAAGAAATTGTGTCCTAGACGGTCTAGTTCATTGGAAAAAAAAATCTTCTCGAAATTATTTTAGTGCAGAAACTTTGCTACATTACAAAGTAAAGGACCTGCAGAACTGCGCTCATTAAGAACGGTTTGATTTGGTCAGCCATATCTTAATGCTCCTACGCTTCAGAAAAGAGTAATATTATGTTTCTTACTCATTCGAGCGGACACACTTGCCAACGAATTGAGGTGAGCAAGCTTTTGAGAGAAGCTTAAACTCTAGAATTCGAGTTGATGGTTCGTGCGGTCTACATAAATTGCGTAGCCGCGAACGGCGAACTGTCGCGGTCATGGAGCGGCCACTCGTTCGCAATCCCTGTGACGCGCAGTCGATAAAAAAAAATATTGAGATTGTTTCTATTAACTGCGCCACATCATGGGCCTTGATGTTACCTTTTTCTGATACCGCTGGTTCCCTGCTGTAGTGACGTCCTTAGACTCTCAACTCTTCCGTGTAATATATTATAAGTACCCCTGAGTATCAGCTCAGATAAGCGTGACATTATATGTTACGCTGTCAGAGAAACCGAAAACAGAAATATTGAGCTAGCCTTATTCCCTCCGCGAGCATAAGCACGTGTAAGCCCGCTTCAACCAAAAACGCTCAACATCTCTGCCCGTTTATAATACCAACATCTCCGTCATCATCCTGACAATACTTAAGAAAAAAACTGTACGCGAACTCAAGTTCTGTACCGTCTTTTGTATCACAATAAAGACACATGTAACAAAATGAACGTAGTATTTGACGCGCTGTATGTTCGGCGAGCATTTCGACAAAAAATCCAATATTTATATAAAGTAAAATTACACTCCAACACGTTGTTTGTACCTTTAACCGACCAGGTGTGTGTATTACGCCAGATTACGAAACTGAGGCCCGTGTCCGGCAGTTTCTAATTACTATTTATAAATAAAATCTACATGTTAGAAGGTACACGTCACGCCTGAGCTAAGTCCTCCTTAACGTAAAGAACGCGAGTGGATGTTAGCACACAATATTTGAGAGTATCAATCAAATGTTTCTGCAGAATTATTTTTGAGAGTAAGCATTTACTGTGAATTCTGATGTTTCGACGTCACAGCATTATTTTTATCCTGAGCGCAAGAAGGTGCTTTTAGCCATATTTGTTTCTTGTATACCCTACATATTTATATTCTACAGAGAAAAGTGTTCGTATTAAAATTTACTGCAAACAAAAACGGTGTAATTTTTTGTGCTTTAAGAGAATGCACAAAGTTATGTGTAATTCAATAAAATAAAAAACTAATATTTTTATCCTCACTGAGATTCTCGTCGAAGTTGACAAAATAAGCGAAACTCAGTGGAAATGTAATCGTTTAGAGACGGACATAAACAGTACTTCGCCTCATTTCTATTCGATTGTACAGCCCTACACTAACAATCTCACATCGTGTATCCACTTAACATTTTTCATATAATGTATACACCTATAATTAAAGCATTCAAATTAGTGATACTCCTTCACCCAGAAGTGGTTTCCAAAAGAAATTTGTTAAGCAAGTTTCTCTGGTCAGAACTGTTCTATGGTTATTTGAAGGTTCACAAAACATTTTTTTCGTTTGTGCAAATGCAACAACTCTGTAAAAATGAGATATAGATATAAAAAAAAAAAAAATTCAGCCGTGCTACAATTTTCCGTAAACAATTCATGCTGATAAAATCGTGTTCCGCGTTATTTTTCTGTAGTAATCCCATTTGAAATTAACCACAAATGGCACCGGAGTTCATAAACCTTCTCTGGTAATGAACAGCGTGCCTCATCATATTGATTCACGCTCTTAATTAGCATAAGGGCGAGACAAATCAACATCTACTTCTTTCAATACATTAATGGAAAGATAGGAAGTGACAATTAATACGTAAGTATTATAAACGATCACGGTAACTTCATTCCAAAGATTTAAGATCTGAAGGTTTTCCTGCCCCATCACCAAACAAGATATTCCTTTTTATCTTTTTTTCTCTTGCTCTCTTTTCCTTTCTCTCTCTAGAAATGTGTTAGTTAAGACAGTCCACACCATTCACACAAACCATACGATGAGCATTCATGACAAGTTTTGTACTGATTCAGACATTAGAGCAACGAACTATAACATCGTCACTATATTTCCATCGTAATCTGAGAATCGACACATTTGTTTTGATTTTACACCGCAGCTCTTCTGGAATAGGAAGTTTTAGTGTTATTAACGTTCGGATAAAATAAGTGATGAGAATACATCCTAGGGCATTCGATAATGATACCCGCGATGAAACTTCCGCACTGATACTGACAGCGCCTCTTGTCGACGCTGCCACAGAGCCTGCACCCCTAATAATCATGCAAAAATGTATTATATAGATTCTCTATACCTGTTTCTTTTGAACACGGCAAACACGCTGTTAGCGTTTTTTTTTTTGTTTTTTTTGTTTTTTCTCAAGTGCCCGTCAATGTTTTGTTTCCTCCGTTTTTTGTTTTTTTTTGAACAAAAGTTCTACTACATGTTGTCACGGCCAACCATGTTAACCCCGCCTCATGAACCTCATGAAGAAATTTCGGCATGGTAACCACTTCGAAAAATATATATACGAATGTCAAGCAAACTAAGAGTCCTAATACTTCGCTATCCCCCACCCCGGACATTCTCACGTTGCTAAACAAAACTCTCGCGAAGTGCCGCTGATGTTTAGAAAATGAGGGTCAAAATAGCTATTAGAGACGCACTATGGCGCTCGCATGGCATCGAGTATTGATACCGGGGTGCCTCACCGGCCGACTAAACCTTCCCGAAAAATACTTTGAAAACGCTCCGACGAACGTTACTTTTTCCGATCGGCAAGTTGCCGCCGCTAGAGCACTCCACACAACCAACCTCCTCTCTGAAGTCTCCGAGACCCACGCATGCAAGACTGTAGTCTCTAACCGACTGACAGTTTACAGAATCGAGTCCCTAGAAGTCTCGAATGAAAGGAGAAACCGGTTTCCGCAAGCGATCGAAAGAGTGCCTTTATAGTACACATGCGCGGGCAGAGGGTCTACATAGGATTCACGCATGCGCAGACAACATCTCACAAACAATAACCAAATCAATCGCAAAAAAAACATGTCTGTAATGTAGCTTAAGTCCCTGGGGCGAAGGAGATGTTCGGGAGATCGGATATGCTAAGGCAAATATACCACCCAGAAGACAGAGCTTGCGTATCATGTCGGCGTCGGCAGATTCCCGATCCACCCTAAGCGGAAAACACGCGGATGCTCCGAGAGAGTCGCCGCGAAGCGACAGAAGCGTACGTCTTGGCGTCGCCGCACGCTAACATCGCAGACGCGCTGACGGCGACGCAAACGCAAGCTAAGCTGCGGTGCGCCGATCCACTAGCAGAGACGTCTGGGGAGGCGTCGCAGGGCTTGTCTTCCGGGTGGTATTGGCTAAGGTCCTTCAGAGGGGGAAGACGGCAGTGGGAGAGATTTTCGCCCCTTCCCCCGCCCTGTTGCGACGCCTGTGCCAAGTTCCCTCCTCAAGACCGTCCGCCGAGGACGGCCCCAGGTCCTCCGAGCCTGGTCGACTCGAAGGCTGCCGCCGCGTCGGGTCCGGGTAGGGCGCTGGACGTGAACGTCGTGTCAGCTGGACTCCTGGACTCGGTGCCGGGCTCGTTGGTGACCACGTCGGCGCGGTAGCCAAACTCGTCGGCCACGTACGTGACGGTCCTCACGCGGCCGTCGGCGTCGGAGAGGAAGTAACGGCCGGACACGCGGCCGGACCCGTCGCCGGACTCCTCGTGTCCGTGGTGGCCGCCCAAGTTCGGGGAGTCGTACGCGAACGAGTACGGCTGCGGCGGGAAGAATGGCTCGGCGCCCACGGGCACCAGAGTCTGGGCCGACTGTGAGCGGAAAGAAACGGAGTATATCTCGTTAAGATGAGTCTCGCGTACGAGGGCTTAACCAACACCACCTCGAATAATCTAAGCCTGCGTGCACTAGCTTTTCGAAGTCGTCACAGTAAGATCCAGCGCAGACACGGATTGGACGCGAGTCTTGCGTCGCGGTTCGGACGGGCCTCGTATCCAATCAAGGAGTCGAAAAAGGCTCGGCGTCGGGCTCGGGCCCAGTTGCTGAGTTTGCGTCATCCGACAGTGACGACGTCACGTGGAGGTAGAGGAGAAGGTTCATGGGCTTTTATTATTCTAGGTGGCGCTGGCTTAACCAACACCATCTAGAATGATCGATACCCGTGGACAGTCTCATTTACCTCCATGGAACATCGTCGGGATGGCAAGTGGCCCCGAGCCTGACACCGTGTGTCCCTTGAGGCGTTGATTGGACACGAAGCCCAGCCAATCACTGACGCTGTATTTGTGTCCAATAAGTGTCTGCGCTTGATCTTTACATCGAGCACATCAAAATTATGGTGATTATTCTAGGCGGTCTTAGATCAATCCGCGCACTCCCGGAAGTCGTTAAGAGCACACTGCACCTCTATGCACCAGCAAGGCCAATCAGTGGGCTTGTTTCAAATAGTTCAGCCAATGACAAGTGTGCCATCGCTTTTTTTTTATTGATAGGCCACGATGTTTGGTGTGTAATACAGCTTGCCCGTCATTTTTGGCTAAGTTTATGAAAGGAAGAATGGTTGGTGTTTCAAGCGCATCAAGACTCAGTATACGTGTTGGAACTTTTTGAGGGGTTGCTGCTTGGCGTTGCCAGTAGCGATAGTATATATTAACCTAGGCTATAGGGCAGCGGTGACCTATTTCGAGACAGGCATAAAAATATGCGCCGGCTTGAATGAAGAGAAAAAAAAAAAGAAAGAAAACTGCATAGCGTAGAATAGAATAAAAACGTTTTACTGCTTTCGCCAAAGTTAACGTCCGCATACCCTTTCAGGCTCTTCTTGGCCGGCATACTGAAACTTGACTGTCCGTGAAAGAACAGGTTAGGCGTACGAAAGTAGCCAGACGGGACTGAAATCACGAGGGAATTAGTTTAATTCTTCGCTCACAGAACGCAGCGGACTTTTTTTGTCTGGCGGACGCCTGATAGCAAGGTAGCCAATTTATGCAAAGACCGCCAATGCAGGATCGAGGTGCGGCAGGTGATGGAAGTTTATGTCTACAAACAGTTCCATCTAAGAAAAGCTGTATAGGGTGTGGGCTTCTAATGAATTCTCTGGAAAAGCTTGTCAAGTCACGTAACTTCCAGAAACAAATATGCGATTTCTTTTAACTTCATTCAAGTTAAACACAAATAACTGAATTATTTGTTTTTTAAGGAGTTTACAAAGTTTCGTTATCGCTATTGCTGAATAGTTTCCCAAAGTTAAAAACTGAATATTGCGAATTCAATTGGTCCCACAAAAGCGTTTCTTCTTCCTCTTCGGGTAAGTTAAACAAATTTGGAGCAAATCTTCCGTATAATTCAAGGAGTGCGTGGTTTATAAATTTGAAGAAGTACGGTCAGTTCAGTTGCACTAATAGTAGCACCGGTCGATAAGCCAAATCGACCAGAGGACACTTGACAACTACTGTCACAACAAACATTTAAATAACATTTCGCGATATGACACTTGGGAGATCACCGTTTCTGGCGCTGAGCGTTGAATTTCACAAGTGCTAATTCACCGACTCTGAGCCAACGTTTGCCTAGACGCCTTTTAGGATTACAGTGCGACCAAGGTGTGAGAAAAATATCAATGAAAAATACCATTAGAAAACAAAAATCCTAAAGAATACCTACATTATCACCGTAAAGAATAAAGAAGTTAGGAACACAATGTTAGGGTGCAAACGAGCTGGCGATGATTAAACACGATGAACTATAACCCTGAGACTAGGGAGAAAAACGACTATGAAGGAGGGGAACAGGACAAAAAGTCAAAGTCAAGTTAGTTGTTTATACAGCAGGAGGTTAGTCTGCCAGAACATGCAGACATTATTACCCACTGTAGATAAGCAATTTAGCCAGTGCAGTACGACTGCTAGCCTGGGGTCTTTAACGTGCACCAAGCAGTATACGATACACGACCGAACGCCGGTACGATGCTGAGAGAAACAGGAGTTATTGAGACCCATGTTCTTCCTCTGCTTTATCGTCGTTTTTCTCCCTATTCTCAGGGTTATAGTTCATCATGTTTAAAGAAGCTATGCGTTTCGTTCTTGCTGCCGTTGTCCTTTACTTTTAGCATATCCCTTGTAAAAAAAAGAAGAACACAAAGATAAGCGTTCGCTACGTGTCAATGGCATTCCATCTCCAGTTACATCTGCAGGGGATTCTTGAAACAAGTCCTCCTGAAAGATCGGCATGAGAACGACGTGTTGCGTAAAAGGACGTACGACTCGGAGGGTTGTCCGTTGCCCTTTCCCTCTGCCAGGGATGCCGATGATTGCCACCATGCATCATTGAAATATGGAAATGCGACACATAGCGGATGTGGCGCGTGAGCGAAATGAAAGAGTGCCAGAGTTTCAAACCCGGTGGCCGTGCAGGGTCGCTCGAACTGGACGCAATTTATTAGACCGGAGGCCAATAAATTGTGTCGCATCCGCGCCACAGCCGAGGACGTCCTCGCGTGTCGGTTGCACAGATTGGGGACAGCGGACAGTGCGGTCTTTTCATCCGCCGGTGTACATCGGTGAAACGTCTCGCGGACGCTCGCAAGTGCACGAATATCAGGAAGGGGTTCGAGAAGGGGTATGCGAGTCTTTACGACGTGGGATAAATTAGCTCAATGACTTACGGTGTCAAGGTCCCCGTCGGCGTTCCTGGGCCCTGGTCCGGCGAAGGCGCCGCAGACGAGCAGTAGCAGGCTGGCAAGCTGAGGGACGGACACGAGCGAGGAAGAGTCCGTGTGAGCGAAATCCGCAATGAAAAGGGCAGGTCGGTGGAAGCACGGGCGGAGGTTCGAGGCAAAAACACGCGGTAACATTGCAGCAAAAAGACTTGCTTTTTTTTTTCCGCGTGGAGGAAGGAGGAATGAAATCTTATTTTGAAACATGTACCCTTCGCCAAAAAATACGAAAAGGGGTCCTATGTAGGGTCCGTGCGAGCGCGCCAGCGAAAGGGCTACGTCCTCCCATCGACGTCGGCGGGATCATGCACTCTAGATAAAGCGTCTCCGAGTTCACTTTCCCGCAGAACACGGGGACAGTCAATCAAGGCGAACAATATGAGGATCCCGGCGAATGTCCAAGCTCAGAATACGATTGCATCTGAAAATTTCGATGTGCGCGGAGTCGATGAGCAAGTCAAATGTAATGCTCGGCATCCCTGCGCACATCTGATTTTTTTATTTTTATTTTGAAATTGTTTTCGTGTCTCGTCATGCGCTGGAATCCTCTTATTGTTTGCAGTGATTGGCTGTCTCCGTGAACTGCAAAAAAAGTGAACCAACTTACTTTATTTTTTAGAGTGTGGCCTCGCGTGTTCGATCGAAACCTGGATTAGGACTAGTGACGCTGCTTGGAGACCAGTTAAGGGGGCTGTAAGCTGGTTAGCAGGGGTTTTCTACGATGCTCGAGACGAACAGGTTAATCTAAGCTCTAAGAAAAAATCAGCTCGTCTGTTCTACCGGAAAGCGCTTGGGAGTGCCGATCGCCACAATCAAAAGAGGAATCTCACTTCGTAAACTGCTGCGATTGTTTCTCCCCAATGCTACGCGAGAAGTAGTCGCACTGACTTTTTTAGAGCAGATACTTTATGGAACTCCGCGTGAAGCCAGGAGCGGACGACCCTCTGCCAAGTTTCTAACGTCAGCCGCCACTCAGAGGATTCCAGACCTTTTGTTTTTCATGTTCCTCCTGCCAGCTTCTACTACTTTAATGTCCTGTTAGATTAGCCTATTGCTATATTGCCGCCTTGAAACGACCCGGAGGTAGTTAAGTTGCCGAGACTTTTGCGCAAGCTCCCTTTCTTCGGAAACATTGAGAAGCGCAGTCAAAGTACAATAGAAGCCGCGGGCCTGCTACTAAAGCCGTTCAAACCAGAGCTTCTTCCTGACGCTCGTCTCCTGCGTAGGGACTACAGAGAAGTGAATCGCGAGGTTAGTGCGATCTGTGCAAACCATCTGTCTAGAACGCGTTTTCACCTCTTCCCCCCCCCCCCCCCCCCACCCCCTTGAGTAGTACGACCGAAATGTCTACACCACGTATACTTTAAGAAATGTGGAGCGTCTACTTTCCCACGAAGAACTTTGTAGAATCGATAGTTGTAATCTGTGGAGGGAGCTCGGCAAATAACGATCTTAAACATATGTTTGGACCTTAAAAAGAAAAAAAAAAAACACTGCGCTGTGGCACTGGGCATGACGTTGCATGTTGCTCAATGCCACAGTGCGCGTTCCTTTTTTTTTAGGTCTAGACCAGGGTGTAAGCCATATACAGGTGGGGACACCGCACGCGTCACAGCTGTCAGCTAATGTCATTCTCGCCTCGGTTGCGAGTGGTGCCACTAGATGGCTCCTCGGCATGCGGCTAATGGCAGCTTGTCGCGGGCCCGGTTCCCCATGCTACGCTATGGGGGACGCGCTTCTTTTCAGGGTCGTTTTCTGGTTGCTTACGTCTTGTAGAACTTGGTACTTGCGCTGCGCGTGTTGCTTAGCCTCAACAGCGACAACAACAGTTTTATAAACGCGTTGAAGCTGAGAGATATCTGACGCGGTGTTCGAGCCAGCGTCTCTCAAGGTCAGAGAGGACTCTCCGAGCGGAAAGAGCGTGCGCCCGGGTGCCATGAAAACAAGATATATATTTTTTTTCCTCAATGGCGCTGTTTGGACGGCGGGGACGCTGTCGGCTGAGGCTTCAGGGGCGCACGCCAATAGGACTTTATCTGATCGGTCGCGTCGCAGCGTTCGTCGTGCTGTGTGTCCCCCCTCCCCCTTCCCATACTCCGTTTACCCTTAAGCCTGGTTCACATGCAGCGGTTTTGGCCCTAGAGCGGCGCGATTTCTGCCGTCGCGGCGCTCGTGCCGCTCAATCGCTGGTGCTGGCCAGAGCGCCGCGACTGCAGAAATCGCGCCGCTTTAGGGCCAAAACCGCTGCATGTGAACTAGGCTTTATGCTGATACTGCGGCCAATGTCGCAAGCACGAGAGCTCGAAGTCGCTGCTTTGAAGCATTCTTTCAGAGAACGAGCACTCGCGCTAAAATGCACGTCTCAAAGCCAGGAGCGCGAGCTAGATCGCGCTTGTAGCCTGTAGTCACAGCTTAACCGCTTATTCACACTGGAAGCGGATCCGCGTTCGCAAAGCGGTTGCGAACGCGGCTGTATAAAGATCCAGTACAATTGCACTGGATCTTTATACAGCCGCGTTCGCAACCGCTTTGCAAACGCGGATCCGCTTCCAGTGTGAATGAGCGGTAAGGGGAAATGGAGTATATCTTAAGGCCAGTTCAGACACTTGCGTTTGAGTGCGTTTGACTGCGTTGCGTCGAGAACCGAAAGCGAGTCACCGGCACATCTGTGCCTCGTATGCAATGTGATATACAATTCAAGGAATAATCTTGGCACGCGATATAAGCAGCACGGATGTCCTGGTTTCTAGCTGCCGCAACGCAGTCAAGCGCAGTCAAGCGCAACTGTCTGAACCAGGCTTTACACAGTGCCCGGGTGCCACGAGAACGAGCAACATTTTCTTTTAATTCCTTTTTCTTTACTGGTGTCGTCTGGAGGGTGAAGACGCTGTCGACTGAAGCTGCCCGGGCACGTGCCAATAGGACTCTATCTGCTCGATCACATCGAAGCGTTTGCCGTGCTGTGTGTCCTCACCTACCGTAAAATACCGAGCATGGGCCCATGTCACATTTTAGGGGTCGCGGGCCTGAAAAGTTTGCACAACCAGAGTTGTGCAAACTTTTCAGGCCCGCGACCCTTAAAATACTTCAACACCGTGCGGCGCCCCCTTTCCCCCTGCTTTTCCCCCTTCCCCCCTCTTTAGAGCAGTATCAAAGCTATCAGCCGCTCAGCTTTTTTAGGCTCTTGCGACCCCCAGCCGCGGCCTCGGGACTCCCGGGGGGTCGCGACCCCCCCTATGCGCACCTCTGGTCTAGACCACGGTGACCTCGCCATTCGATGTGCTCCCTCCACAGGAGGCAGAGAATAGCTCGCCCATTGGCTTCGCGGAAAAGTAGACGCACCATATGTCGTACAGTGCTCGGATATACAGCTTGGTGCGGGAAACATCGATATTATTTTGTTCTGTTTAGTTTCGAGTCACGGTCTCATTATTTGTTCAATTATCCCGGTGAACGACAAGCGGACTTCGAGAAAATATGTACTTTTGTTTGGGCATCAGCAACGACAGCTAAGACCAAAAACACGGTCGTCCTTCCTCCTTATGTCTCTTCTACCCTTTAGGTTAGTGGAAACATCCGAAATACTAGTTAATACGCAAGAGTCTATGTAGTGAAGTTAGGCAGATACGTTTAACCAAAGAAGGGTTACGCGTTTGCCCAACTTCCGCCGCACACTAAACACTGTGAAGAAACTTCGCCACGCGCGCTTAGCTGCAAAACCTCACCTTGAGCATGTTTTCCTCGTTCGTCGCGCTCGACAAGAAACTCCAGCAGTGGACAAACACGGGAAACAGAGAAGAGCAAGAAGACGTTATGGCGAATTCCAGCGCGCCTTGTTCGCTTTTATACAGGCGGTCACAGTAAACACGCCCCTCCCGGAGACTCGGAGCCCGAGATGCACCAATCCCAAGCCGTCCGACCCACAAAGATATTGTCGCCAGAGCCTAAAGCGCTATTTGCATATTCCCCCATTGAACCGCGCCGTTAATTTTACGCGGTGAAAAAATCTCTCCCACCCATCTGACAACGTCGATGTCGAGCCACCGCTCCGGAGTTGCGTCGCCAAAAGGGCGAAGATAAGATTTCGAGTCGATGGGGGCCCCGGATGACAACGATGGAAAGCGACCCTCCGGGAGAATGGAAGACCGACTGCACTCCCGCCGAGAATCGGAGGTAGCCCGATAAACATCGGGTTAAAGCGGGGCAGGGAAAGCCGCCGTTGCTTCTTCGTCTACTGTTTACTACCATGGCGCTCAGAATGCGGCGATGAGACCCGACCGGGACGCCGATAGAATGGCGAAGTATACACACTACCAGCAACAGCAGCAACGGCAGCTTTTGTTTCGGAGATCCCGCGCTGCTTGAAACGTCTCTGGATGTTCAAGAGTCTGCACCAAGAAAAAAGAGAGAGAAAGTAGTTTCAATCTCGCTAGGACGACGAGCAGAAATGGCTCATATTCGCTTGTATTTAGCTTATAGGCCGCGCGTGGCAGCGCACCGGGGGATTGGACTTTTACTCCGCGGCTTTGCGACGGGAAAATCCTTCCTTCCCGCTGGGTTCCGGACGACTGAGAAGCAGCCGGATGCATGACAATGAGGAAGGGTTGGAGAAGGTTGCGCGTGACGGCGGGGATCACTGTACGCCCGGTTTTTTGGCTCGCAGAGGTTAGCTGTTCGCGCTTTCCCGCGCCGCGTGAAATGCTGTCGATGCCGTTACAACATACCGAGTTTGGTCCTGATAAAACACCGTGTTATTCTACAGAGTCACTTACTTACACTTACACAAAAAAGTTGATCAAAACTAACATATTTTTATCGACTTTCAGTTCACGGTGTCAGACATCCCCTCACGTTATTTCTACCTTGTAGCTTCGTTTTGTCCATCTATCTTGCCACAAGCCCCGATAGATCACCTACATGTTTTCCATCACAAACTTAGTTGGGACTATCGCTACATGCTGATCCATGAGTTACCTAGCATCGTTGTTTACGACCACTTGCAATCATCTACCTTATTTCGCATATTCCGGGTTCTATGCCCCATTACGCGCCACAGTTAATGTGCCATTTCACGCAATGTTACGAAATATTCCAAGATGCTTTGTTCCAGATCACTGCTGCCATCACTTGTTAGTTAGTTTAAAATTGTTTTCTGGCGTGCAGACAAACAGAAATGATTATCTGCATGGGTATGTGGACATTGTTTTCTATTGAAAAGGAATAAATAGCATAGAAAGATGCAAACGTAAAAGAAAAAAAGTTAATGAATGAGAAATGTCAGAGCAAGCAAGGACTATGAAAGTTAATTGGGGAGTGGTGCAACGAACTTTGTGAACGAGGTTTTTGATGAGTTCCATAATCTACAAAAGACAACTTCATCCAGTAAAACCAAGATTATTATATTTCTTTAAAAAAAGAAAAAAGGTTGCTGTATACGAAAACAAGTGACATACAAAAATTTAACAAGTGCTGATGTGATGCTAAAAAAAAGCTTCCTGTGACACATAGTGCTAACGTATTTATTCGCCATTCAATGGTGACGATTTGTAAACAAATCGGGCAATTATCTGAATGTATTAAGGGCACCCAGCAACGCCAAGGGCTTAAGGATACACGAAATGTTATATACATTAAGAATAAAAGACACAGAGCTATTAAATACCGCGGCTAAATTAGTCTAGCCATCTTTTTTTATATTAACAACCCGATGACCCAGGCGAAAGAGTTCATTTACATATTAGGTACCCGCACACTCGCATAAACTCATAATTACATAATATGCTTAGTCGGTGCCTTAGAGCGCCCCTTATTAGGATGTAGTGACGTCGATTTAAATATGACCTCGTAAACATAAATCAGAAGGATTACCTTAAATATTTACTACTTGATATAAACGTACGTATAACCCTTTAAGTGTAACAGAAATAAAACACTGGTAATGCGAAAGGATTGCCCGATGAGGAAAGGTTTTTATGCACAGCCGTGACCCACGAAGGTTAACTATTAAACGTCAACAACTTTGCCAATATTGCCGTTATCCCCGTCACATACCTTACTAAACTTAAGGTCTTGCCAATGACCACAAGAAAACGCAATTATAACTTTCCGCTTGCATTCCTTAGAGAGCATATCCCCTTGCACGAACGCTCGGCACATTGGGCAAGAGAGGGAATCACCGCATCCAAGAAAAGCCCACATGAAGAATGTAACCTTTTGCAAATATAATACACCATAACCATGACATATGTGGTAACACATAATTGCAACACGTGAGACAGCCAAAACCCCTGGCGGCAAACAAACGAGCAGAAATGACATTGCCCAAAGAAACGTTCGAAGCAACCTTTTAGTATTTACATTGTGGTCAGGAAACAGGTAGCGAACAGCCCAGGCTCATATAAATGCTCATTTGTCTTCTCAATGCATCCCCTAGCGTTCCCGCAGTACGCAATAAAAACAGAACATAACCTTCCGGAAGCACACCGAGTCACACTTTTAATGGTATAACGCGCAACTTGAATCTTTGTTAAAGTTTAACAACTCATCTTTTAAAGAAGCTTTCTCTCTTTTTTTTAATATTTGCAAGTCTGTATTGGAACAACACCCTAGCCTTCTTTGCATGTAGAATAGAGACACCCATTTTTAGGCCTTAGACTCTCTTTGCTTCAGTACACTCTCTTTTCCCGTATACAGAGCGCGTGGATCACTGTTACAGTTCCGCTGAAAACCGATGATGCACTCTCCTCGCACCGAAAACCCGCTTCGCTTTTTTGGGATGTGGAGAGATCCTGAACTCCAGAAGTCAAGCTCTTGGCGCTGTCGGCAATCGGGAGTCTTCACAGATGTATTCACAGAAGTCTTCACAGTTGCGTTTGACTGCTTTAACACGTGTAAGACTGGTTGCGTCGAGCTGTTGCTACGGCGACCCTTACGACAAGCTAATGGGAAGACGCTGTGTTGCACGACACAACGCAGTGGACGCAACTCTGTGAATGAGCATTTGCAGTTCGGGCCACTTTAGGACTCAATTTTGCGGTGCGCGAAGATCCTCCCGAAAGCGTCCTTTGAAAGTCACACTCATTTTTTTTTCTCGACACGCTTTCGATCAATTCTGCAGTCCTAGTTCTCAAAGAAGACGCTTTGCTTTCTGTTCGAGGCTGCCATGGAAGCGAGTCTGCTCTTCTCGGCCGCTCTGGCCGCGTCGGCTCCGGGCAGAGCTTCCGAGTGGATGACGACTCCCGATGAACTGGCCGACTCGGTGCCTTGCTCGTTGGTGGCAATGCCCGCCCTGAAACCGTTTTTGTCGGCGATGTACTTGACTACTCGCATCCGGCCATCCGCCAAGGATATCCGGTAGCTTCCCCGCACCGTGCCGTCTTCGTCGCTCATCTCCTCGCGGCCGTGCGTGCCGTCCTTGCTGGAGCTGCCGTACACGAAACGGTAGGGAGTTCCCGGTCTGTGGTCGTCGGTGGGAGTCTGCACGAGAAGGAGTCACGTTCTGTAAGCGAAGGTTCGTTAAACTCGTCAGATCGTGTTTACCATTAGATTAACGTCGAATGCGTTACAGGGGAGGTTATGTAAGGAACTACCGACACCAAGAAGAGAAGGAAGTGACGTGGAAGTGACGTGGCACGTTGAATCGCGTGACGCGTCACGTAACGTAATACATCGTAGCTTTGCAAGTCCAGGTATGCCCACGATCGGACCTTGATTAACGACCCTATAACGTTTTCTGCGTATACAGGCTTTTGTCAGAAATGAATCGAGCTCTTTGCGACAACTTAATGCTTACTTTCATTCTGCCTGAGATGAATAAAACTGCTTTACCATAAAAAGGAGCAAACGCAATACTGCTCCTGCTCAGGGGGTTAAAGGTACGTATGAATGAAACTTAAACACAAATAAAGGAACGAAATACGCGCTGAATTGTAACCTCCATACCCTCTCCCCCCCTCCCCCCCCCCCCCCCCGGCCCCCTTCCCACACATACACCAATGGCTCAAGAAATGTGATGACTCTGTGGCTCTAAAATATGACGACTGTAATAATAACCTACTTTCATTGTTCGTTATTTCATTGAATGAGCCAATTAGAACTATCAATCGTTAATAGTTTTGACTTGCGTTTCATAATTCGGCGTTGCGTGAAAGGTGATTGCGCTCATTTTTTGCTGATAGTTAAAGCAAACACGACGGGTTCCCATATTCGGCCCAGTTAATTTCAATCCCAGGCTTCATTTGCAGACTATTTGCAGAAGAAACTAATCTGTACGACACTACGCTTTAAACCAAACCGCAGGTCAGGTCACAAACCAGATGTATTTGTTTTCGAAGTAGAAGTGTGGAAAGGAACCCACCCTTTGCCTAGATTGGCGCTGCTGCGTCTCAGAGAACTGAAACACGTCAGAGTGAACGGCGTGAGAAAATGCCAGGCCAAACAAGAAGATGGTTATCTGGAAAGAAGTGTGACGCAATTAATATATGATGACCTCTTACTAGCTATACACTCCCCATCCAAAAAGGAAAGTTAATTCGATTCCTAAAACCACAGCGTAAAAAGGAAAAACAAAAAACGTGTGTATGGTGATGGCGAAAAACGTGAGCTATGTTTGCTTCGGTTTATAGAATATGCTGCGTGTCGTTCGGAGTGCAGTGGAGAGATGTGACCTGAAAGTTTGCGCTTCAATCCCCACGCATGTTTGTTGTGATATGCAGTGACGGTGTTGACGTGCGTTCAAGCATTTGCCGGGACCGGATTCATGTTAGACTCTATAGTGCATTTGTGTTTATCTATAAGCTGTGCCAGCTAAAAAAGTAACGAACCGCCTCGCACCACTTCAAACCGCCACAAGGACACCGACTTGAAAGTTGTATACTTCAGTAACCAAATCAACCGTCAAGAACAACAAAACGAAGCACACTTATCAATAGAAAAGCTCATCTCTCTCTCTCTATTTTTCCCCGGTCTGTCTACACTTATCGTGCTTTTTTTTTTACTTGTATTTACCGTACGTTTTAACACTCTGACTATTGCTAAAACTATTTTTTTAAGCAGGAAGACCGAAATATATATAGACGAGCTTACTTCTAATACTTGCTACTGAATAACTTTTTTTTCATCTTATTCTTCCCTTAAAATGTAGCCAGCAATAATTCCTATTTCGACTTAAGTATTATTTTTGACTGTCGAGCCGACGCGCGTAACGCTGTAGACATAGAAAAGAAGGCTAGAAAGACTACATTGTCTCGTGTTCCTTTCGCTATATACACTTTAAGACTGGCAGGACTACTTATGGTCCAGTCCCACGAACTGGACCAATCGTGAAATACCTATCAACGGACGTCTGGAACCATTTCTGCCATAGCCACCGACAATGCGCCAAAACGCAGGGCGCGGTGCAGTCCGAGTATCTTATAATTATTCCACAGCCATTACTTACCATCTTGTTGAGGGTGTCTAAGATATATATATACATATATATATATATATATATATATATATATATATATATATATATATATATATATATATATATATATATATATATATATATGTTGTTTAATGCATTAACATTCGTGTTGTTCTCTCCCCCTTAATGACTTCGGGTCCTGACGATACTACACATGAAATGAGATGTAATGAATTAAAATGAAATGAGATTGTGGCATTAGCCGATAAGAGCGCCGAAGAACAAGTCCCAAAGCAAGAAGCCGCATTAACGTAATAAGCCTCTCCTCGCGTTTCTCAAGCTGTCAGTGCACCGTAGAAGACGCGACAAAACAAAACATGTTGACAAACCCAGTCGCGCATCAAGGCTGCAGCGCTTGTCTACAAACACGTGTTTGTTGCCGGTTGGTAATAGAGGAACATTGAAGAGGTCGCGCCAACAAGACATTCTCGCTGCGTCCGCTAGGACAGTGTCGGGTATACACGACTGCCGTCCCGAGCGCCGAGGAGATCTCCAAGTTTCTCAACGGATTTCCCCGATGACCGCGATCCATGCGCCATTGTCCCTGTGTCTCGCGGACAATCGTTGCAAGAACCTATCCGAGACAATCCGAGGAGACCGCGACAAGAACGTTACCTTGAGCATCGTGGCCCGTCTCGCGGGGTGGTCACGAGTGCGAAGAGTGTTGACGGGGGGGACGGCCGAGTGCTGACAAGTACGTCCCCGTCACCGGCACTTTTATACGCGCATTGCCGCAGAATGCATTTGTAAAACAGCGGTTGCGCATACGCGTCGGGTTGTTAAGCATATATCGTGTCGGGACGCATCAGCGGGGCTGTCTACGCGGTCCGTCAGCGACTCCCGACTTCCGGGACATCGGCTAAAAAAACGTGGCCTTCCTCCCGTATCTCTCGCTCGCAACGCGATCGGGCGTGCCGCTTTCGAAAGCCCGGGAATCGGGACCAAAAGAAACATTCGAAGCTTGAGGTAAAGAGCCAAGGTCTAAGTGAGCGAGCAACTGGAACCACGGAGAGCGTTTGCAATTTAATGGCGGATGTCTCCTGCGGGCATTCGTGGCAAATGCGCATGCGTAGGATTGGCGCACGGCTCGCTTTGCAAACGCGGTCCATAAGTCACGTGACTCCGATCGCTCAGTTGGAAACACTCCCAAATACGGGCTCACTTTCTCGAGGTTGTGTGTACAGTGCGACTCTCGCGTGACGACCTTCTTCGAGGGGGCGTCCTGCCGCGACGATCTGCGGTCGCTCCAGCGTGACGCCACGCTGACAGCAAACTGAGGGAAGGAATGGACCCTTGAAGGTGCCGCCGCGCCGCAGTGTGCATACCTCGTGCATATATGAACCTTGAGTCGAGTGTGAAACCTGCGTGTGTGTTTTTTTTATGCACCAAATGTCGGGCGCAGATAACACGCAGAGATGAATAAGAGGTGTCTTTTGAGAAACGCTGAAAACTAAAAGCCCATCGTAAAGGCACTCTGCGCTTAAGATTCTCCGTGCTGCAAAGACAATTCAGCGTCATCGTGATACAATTCATTAAAAAAGAAATGCGAATACCATGGGTCTTGCGTGCTAAGAAGTGGGAGGGGGAGTGTGACCGGCACCATGCACTGTAACAATATACACTCTACTGGCCTATATGTATCTGCCAAGATAAGAGCGTCAGGCGGTAGGGTTGCATACTGCTTTCGGTTTGGCTGTCTCACGCGTGACACTTCAGCTTTCTGTGTGTGCACGCCCGAGAGCTCGTTCACACAGTGGCGTTGGAGTGCGGCTGCAACCACTTGCGTCTTGTTAAAACTGGTTGCGTCAAGCTGTTGCTATGGCGACCCTTGCGACAAGCCAATGAGGAGGCGCTGTGCTGGACGACGCTACACAGTCGACGCAACTGTGTAAACCAGCCTTGAGGTTCACGCAGTGCCAGAACATCACCAACAGCCTGGCGATAGTCCAGGAAAAAAACAAAAAAATCCGCATGAAAGCTCTTAGTAACTACCATCAAATGTAAGCTTGGGTGTCTCGGACAGAAATTTCTGAAAACAATCAGATACAGAAGGTCGCATTCATAATTTAATTTTGATGTGGTCTGTAGGTCAAAAAAAAAAAGAAAGCACGAGACATATTTGTACTGGTCCGCTGACTTGCAAATCGCCAACACCTTGTCCGCCATGACGGCAATGCCACTTCATAGCCATCGTCCTGTTATATAATCCGCGGACTTCGTTCCCAAGGTACCGATTGTCGTGGGAATACGCCTTTACAGAACTGTTCGCTCTCATCCTACCTACGATAGTTGAGCCGTCGTCATTCATTTAGTTTGGCGCAGATGGCCACGCAGCTTTCGCGTCATACACCTCCCAGAAGAAAAAAAAAAACGATCGATCAGTTAGTATATACAGTCCTGGTCCACACCGTAAAACTGACTGCTCCACATTGTAGGACTACACGTTTCGCAAATCAACGGCTTCCCGTAGGACTCGCGAGGGCCGGTCGAGATGCCATCGGGGGCAACGTGCGCTCCACTCGGTCACGACGCTGGGTCGACCCGTGACGGTATACAACCCGTGACACGGAGAGAACCCTTGCCACAGCCGACCTCCGAGATGAATTAATTTCTGCAACCTACGTGATTACTTTCTCGGCTTGACCAACACTACCCATATACGGCGTGCTAGTTCGTTCTCTATTTGCCCACCTGATGCGTTTATTTATCCTCCAAATGCGTCCGCGTGGTTTTGTTTTTCCCAGACCTCAACCCATGACGGTGCAGGCTTGGCTGTCTCGTCATTCCGCGGTCTCTTCGCGTTCTGTATGATTCCCTTCGAATGGCGTGCCCCTCCTTGCTTTCAGATGCGCCAAAGATGCCTTTTCGAACACTTGCTCGCCTTATAGCCACCAACAGCATAATGCCCGAGTCCTACTAGAGCAACAAACAGAAACAAAACGACACGGACAAGCCTTCAACCCATGCAGCCTGCTCGCGATGGTACCTTTGGCAGGCATATAGTCGTTCAGTGCTCGCGAGGTAATCCCAAGTGATTGCAAGCCTGTCCAAGATACCCTCGCGTGCGTGATGCTCGCGTCTGAGCATAGCCTCTTTTATTCTACAAGCCTGTCAAATCGCGAAAGACTCTGGTTTGAGGCATGTCGCTGTCGTTTGTTTCTTTCTGTTTCTTGCTCTAGTGGGACCAGGGAATAAGAAATCAAGGGCGCGGTTTATTTTCCCACGCAATTCTTGTCCCGTGATAAGTTCCTCGGCGTTCTTGTCGACTGCGAAGCGATAAAATGACCAGGGCTCACCACCGAGCCCCGCGCGTCGTAACTGTCAGTGACTCTATAGAGTAAACGAAGCATGTGCACTTGAGGTTGATGGCATCCCAGTGAGATCGAGCGAGGGAACAGATTAGACACGAGTACTCGGTAATTGTTTTTTCCCGGCCTCGTTTCCAATAATCGTGTAAAAAAAAAAACGCTTTGCGTTGGTTTTTGGGTTAAATTCCTGACCCTCTACAGACCGTGTACACGTGTACACACCGAATATAAGTTCGCTGGTTACCAACACAGGAAGGCACAGAACCCATAGTCAACTTCAAACTCTAGAAGCAGAACAAAACAAAAGAGAAAGGGAATTCCAGATTGACTAGGTCACAAGGGCATACTCCAGGGCCGGTTTGCTCATCTTGCGGCTGCGGCTGCGGCCGCGCCAAGAGGGATTTTTACGTCACGTGACCAGCTCCATGGGGACAAGGAAGTACCTAGCGTCCCTGCCTAATGGCGGAGAAATCTGTATCGCTTCAAGCACAAAAGCCTAACTTCACTCTCAGAAACTGACTGCAGGGACTTTGAAATGGAGTCCAATTGGCCGCCCTTTTATACTGTAGGAGCGGCAGGTAAAGTTATGGCCAGGGGGAGGGTAAATATGAGCCAAAATAAAGAAAAAACCACGCGAGATAAAAGCGGCGGCAGTACATTTATATTCTCCCGCCAGTGGCCGCGACTCACGCCTTCTCCTGTGGCCGAGAGGTTGGAGCGCCGGCACTTGACGTCGCGGCGTGGAAGTTCCGGGTTCCAATCGCACTAAGGACTTCTTTTTTTTTCTTTCTTTTTTTTGTATTTTGCGCGTGTCTTACTTTTTAACTGTGATCCTTTTTAGGAAATCATCCACTTGCACTACTGCGCCTTACACGGTTTTTACTGTTTGTCCCACCTGTTCAATCGAAACACCGGGAAGAAAAAAAAAAAAGGATCAACGCAAGTTAACGCGCTAATACAATCATTTCATAATGTTCATTAAAAGGAAACCAAGATAACAGCATCGCTATGGTTTTTACACTAACGGAGCCGAAACAAGCATCCTTTCCCCAGCAACTAGTCTTATTTGTTTTTAAATATACAACGCTCTTGCTACGATTCCTTTCAATAACAAGAGACGCCTATTTAGGACTAATAAAAACTGCAGTTGTGACAATTAAAAAAAAAAAACAAGCAAAAATAAGAAAAAAATACTAGCAACTGTGGCTACCGTGCCAGGGTTGGGAAGTATCGCGATACAAATGTATCGCGATAGTATTTCAGAAATACATTTTGATACATTTTGTATCTGTATTTTTGTATCGCGATACATTTTTTTCACCAGTATCTGTATTCCTGTATCGGAATACATTTTTAATGTTCCTTCGTATCGCAATACAATTAGGGTGAAATGTATTTCGTTACATTTCTTGACAAATACTCCCCCCCCCCCCCCCCCCCCCCCACAAAAAAAAAAAAAAATAGAACGCATTTTTTTTTTTTTTTTACTTTTGAGGGCAGCAAGGACAAGGAGGTACTGGGGAACTGTTACCATGCCGACCAAAGTTCCTTCCGATTCTCTATACTATTTTTCTATGCGTCCTCTTCTCCCTTCTGAGAAGTGTTGCGTAGTCGGGGACTCGAGAACCAGGTGGCGTGCCAGGAGTCGAGTCAGAGCATCTTCTGCCGCAGGTCCCTCAGGCGGAAATTTCTTCAGTTATTGTTTGCTGACATCCAATGCCCGCTGCTAACCGTCTCTCTTGCTTTAGCGTACACAGTACACACAGCCGGCGAAGCTGAGTCACAGTTCGTTGCAGCAAGAGCCTGGCGGTGGTTGACTTGAAATAGTAGGATGACTCACGCAGTGAAGTTCAACACATATTCGAATGCGCCTGCGGCTGCGCCCGTAATATTGCACGGCTCAAGGGTACGTCATCAGCCGACATGAAAGTAACCCGCTGCTCTGGTGTTCCGAAACCCAAGAAGAAAGTCAGACGTGGCCTCGCTGTGCCGACCCAGACTTGTACACATGCGACTTGCCTCGAGCTCGCTGTTTCTCGGAGAGCTCGCACTTGTGCCGGCAATATCAGATCGCAATCCACGATGTCTCTATTTGGAGTATGCAAGACGAAACTTGAGAACTGCAATCTATGCTTCGGTGGCGGAGGGTCGATAGGAAAAACATTTACAAGAGCGATGGCACCGTATCGTTTTTTCAACTGTAACAAAATATAAGACAGATGTTCCAGGATGCTTCAGGTAGTCCACTATTCTCGAAAATTCCAAATGACACTGCCTCCTTGATCTTGAACGAGGTAACGTATACAACGAAAGTACGTATTGTCCTTTCATACTGGAGCGTGCTAAAGTTTCATGTTCAAGGCCACACCTACAGATAA